CCTCAGCCTTTCCTGGGCACGGAGACGCTCCAGGCCCTTCCTCATCCCCATCGGACCCGCTCCAGGAGTCCCCTGGCCATGGACAGAGGCAGCTCCTCTCTGTCACTGCTCAAAGACCTCTCCTGGTGTCCCCGTGGTGTTTCCTGGGCAGAACGCCCCTGCCACGCCCAGCCCGGAGGAAATGGACATCGAGGGGATGGACACGGGCGCTGTTCCCAGTCACAACACACGTCTTGCCTCACCCCAGCCCCACGGCCACAAGTGCCACCAGACAATTCCATGATCCAGCTCCGGAGACACCTTCCTGACCTCACCACCCCCAGCTTCCCAACGGGAGCAGAAACACAACCTCCAACATCCCCTCAGAAACTCCCGACCTGCCACTGCTGCCACATCCCATTCTTTCCTCATTCCAGCAAATCCAGTCCTTCCAAACCCCTCCAGCCTCCCTCTGAGAGGGGAAAACATCGCTCATATCAATCATTAAAATAGGGTTTATAATTAACATTAGAGTTCAGCCACCCTTTGGAATGTTTTCCACCCTTTCTCCGGGTTCCTTTACAAATCCAAATTTGGTTTCCTTTACAAATCTAAAGCACAGACCACTTGTGTCTCTCCTAATTCCCAAGATCCATCCATCCATCCATCCATCCATCCATCCATCCATCCATCCATCCATCCCAGGTGTTCCAAGCGCTGTTTGGCTGTTCTCTGGGCATTCCTCAACAGGACTGGGAGCTCCTGGCCCACAAAACTTCACAGGTAGAGGCCAAATCCCACTTCCAGCTCCTTTGCATCCGTCACGGTTCATATCTGTGATTCTGAACTCCCTCACGCTCCAGAAGAACTCTGTGATTCCATCCTCAAAGGTCTCCTGGTCCATAATTCCATCCTAAAAAGCTTCCTGGTCCATAATTCTATGCTCAAAGGTCTCCTGGTCTGTGATTCCATCCTCAAAGGTCTTCTGGTCCATAATTCTATCCTAAAAAGCCTCCTGGACCATAATTCCATCCTCAAAGGTCTCCTGGTCCATAATTCCATCCTAAAAAGCTTCCTGCTCCACGCTGACCCCCCAGCTTGTGTCCACCGGGGCAGTGACAGCTTTTCCAAGCCAAAACTGTTCTGGGAATATGTTCCCAAGGGATACTTTGGGTTTTTTTGTGGAATTTGGGCCACTTTTGCAAGGACTGAGAACAGAAACTGGGAGAGGATGGAAATAGCTGGGGGAACTGTGGATTTACAGAGGGCTGGGGTGTTCAGGGCTTAGGATGCCTCTTAATTAATCACCTCCCTTAATTTCTGAGGTGCCTGAGGCTTCTCCCAACCTCTGGAAGCTCCTGGCATCAGGTAATGCTGCTGGACTCTCTGGAGAGGAAACCAGGAGCAGATTTTGGGGTTCCTCAAGCCCAGCGAGAGCCTGGAATCAGCTCTAGGTCCTTTAGGGACAGTGAAGCCAAACTGGGATGCACAACCCAGGTAAACAGACCCAGATTCCCAACTAAAATAACACCTTTCCTGGGAAAATAGGAATGTTTTTATTTATTAAAAAAACAGCCCAGTTTGGAGCTGCGACACCCCAGGCTCAGAGAAAGGGTTGGCCACGGCCTTTGCTAATGACAGGGTTGTGTAAAAATCCCTCTTCTTCCCCCACAAAATGTCCCATCTCCTTTTCCAAACCAGGGAAGGACAGGCTTTTAATTCATGGATAAAAAAAAAAAGTAAGAGTCAGGTCTGATGGCTCGGGGCTGGGAACTTCACTTCATCCCCTTCCAGGTTTAACTTTGGGGTGGCATCAGCTGCCCACCAGGGCTGGGATGGAATATTTGCGTCGGGAGAAGAGAAATTTTCGGGTTTCCTGTTCTTTCCCAAAGACTTTCATCTGGAGACTAAATTTAAGGAAAAAAGGGGAGGGGGGGAAAAGAAAGAGAAAAGGAGGAAACCAAATGTTGTGGGGGAAGGGTTTTGGGGTTTTTTTGGTTTCGTATTTTGGGTCTCCAGCCCTCAGCGCCTCAGCCAAAGGTGGAGATGACGCACGAATCCTGACGGGGCTCTTTGGAAGCTCCTGGAGCAGCTCATGGGCTGCCCATGGCACCGATCCATGTGGGAGCCACAGGGATCAGGAGCCAGAGCTCCGAGACACCTGGGAGGTGCCAGACGATCCCTGCGAGCCATCCAGGAGGAGAGGACGGACCTCACCCTCCCGTAAAAACAGAATTTGAACCTTTTGAGCGGGGGGAAGAAAAGGGAATTTGGGGATATTACACATAAACAGTGGCTGAAGGAAGTTCGACATTCTAGAGGTTTTTAAACCTTTTTGTTCCCTAAGATTTTTCTTTGGAATATCAACCCTGCCAGCCAGGACATGTTCCCACTTTCTGGAACGGGGTCAAAGACTCTTTTCCTATGACCCCTGCGGTGAGGAGTTTCCCAAGAGAGATCCCCCTCAAGTCCTCAAGTTGTTGCCTTGGGTCAGGAATTTTAAGTAGAAACTTTCTCCTTTCCCAAACATCCGGCACCGCTGGGCTGTCAGCAGGGCTGGCCCTGGACTGGAGCTGCTCCAGGATGATCCCAGAGGGATTCGGACTCTCCAGGCAGATCCCTTCCAGCAGAGCTGGACGTGGATCTTCTCCCTCAGCACAAACAACTCCCTAAGAAAGGCTGGAGAAATCCCACCCTCGGATAACTGTGGGAAGTGTTTTCCCGAGCATCTCCCCAAAACTGCTGCCTCTTTGTGGCTTTTCCCTTCTTTGGAATGACAAGCCCAGCATGGATTTGACCATGGATCAACTGGAAAGCACATCTGGGATTTATTTTCCTCCAAAGCAGCCCTACTTTTCCTCATAAATTCTTCCTTTTAAATCCTATCTGGGAAAAGGAGCTGGAGCATCATAACTGTGAACATTGTTGCCCTTCCCAGATTTTTCTTTGGGATCTGCAGTGAGGGGTGAGGTAGCGGGATGAGATCCTCCGTCTGGATGAGGAGGGCACAGACCTGGATGTCACATCCCAAATTCTGGATCATCCGAGGAGGAAAGCACTGGACCCAACCACTTTCCCTGTGTCCAAGGGCATCTGAAATCCCAAAATCTGTGGATGACAGCTCCTCTGAAAAGTGGGAAGAACTTTTCCAGATGGGAAAATTTTCTGTTGGGACCACAAACTCCTTAAACCATCTCAGGGCCAGTCTGGCAAATCCCTGCCTTGATTGGGAACTCCTAAAGGGAATTTCTGGGGTGCCAAATCCTAAAAAAAACCCCATTCCCTGTGGAAAGGTTGAGCGGGAATTAATTCCTGCCTTTGGATTAGTGCAGATTAATTGGATTTAATTCTCCTCTGATCATGAGTAAAATCTCCAAAGCCTCAAAATCCAGGTGGTTCCTCCTCTTGGATTCTTTGGGATTGGATTTGCTGCTGATGGAGCAGGGAGGAGCTCAGAACACTTTTTCCAAAGGCAGGATCTGTGGGATATTGGAAGTTTTCTGTTCCAGTCCCAGACCCAGGTCCCAAACCGGTACCAAACCCAGGTCTCCAAATCCCTGGGATGCGCTCCCTTTCCACTCGGGAAAGAGCCCCAAATCCGGCTGTCAATCCCATCCCTACCCCTGCCCGCAAGGAAGGGGGATCGACCCCAAATGCTGGAGAAGGGGTGTGGGAGCAGGACCAGGTGGGCGGTCCCCAAAAGCAGGAAATGCCTTTGCACATGTGCTCATTAACGAGGTGTTAATTGGGCACGGGGTGAGGGGACAAAGGAGCAGCAGAGGATGTGGCTTGAGGTTTTCTGATGGAAAACAGGAGGTTTGGAATCAAAGGGAAGCCGGGATTTTATGGCCCCTTGCCCGCCTTCCCGACGGCACCAGGTGGGCAGGTGGAAAAGCTGGATTTGGGGGCTTCTCCCGGTTTTCCCACAGCACTCCCAGAGGGAAGAGAGAGCCGAGGTGCGGGAACATCGCGGCTTGTCCCCTTTTCCCAGGAAATAGAGGGAAATGGGACACTCTGGGGACTGGAGGGTGCCTCAGCTGGCCAGGAATTCTCACTTGGGAATGTGGGGAAAGGAAGCAGCGGAGGGTGAAGACTTCTCACCCCACACGAGAGAGCTCTCACCTTCCTCCTCCCCCCAGCCCCACAGCTGGGAGCGATTTTCCAGCCCAAAATAGAAAGGAAGTGGAAGGAAGAGGCTCAGCTGAGCTCTGGTCCTTCCGAGGAGAGAGGGTGGGGAAGGAGAAAGGTCTTGGGGCGATGTTTTGTTTTCCCTATCAGTGGTTGCAAAGGATTTTTGGGGTTTGGAATACTCCAGAGGAGGCCATGGAGCTGCTCCCAGGGCTGGAGCTCCGCTGGAGCCAGGCTGGGAGAGCTGGGAATGTTCCCCTGGAGAGGAGAAGCTCCAGGGAGAGCTCAGAGCCCCTTGCAGGGCCTGAAGGGGCTCCAGGAGAGCTGGAGAGGGACTGGGGACAAGGGATGGAGGGACAGGACACAGGGAATGGCTCCCACTGGTTGGATGGGATATTGGGAAGGAATTCCTGGCTGGGATGGAATTCCCAGAGCAGCTGTGGCTGTCCCTGGATCCCTGGCAGTGCCCAAGGCCAGGCTGGAGCAGCCTGGGATGATGGGAGGTGTCCCTGCCCATTCCAGAGGGGTGGAACAGGATCTTTATGGTCCCTTCCAACCCAAACCATTCTGGAATTCTGTGATCCCGGGAGAGCTGGTGGTTGGAGCTCTCTCCTGCGCATGGGGTGGAACAGTCAGGGCTAAAATCCCACAACCTCTGCATCCTCCCGGACCCCCGGAATTTGGAATTCTAGAGCACAGCAACTCTGGGACAACTTTGCTTCCCAACACCCTGCGCTGAAACCTCAGTCCCCGTGGATATCCTGAAAAACCGATTCACCGGGATGCTCCGACTGCCTCCCTTCCCGCCCTGCTCCCAGCTCCGTGCGCGGGGATGAGGGCTGGGAGGAGCAGGGGTGGATCCAGCTCCAGCCCCAGGATTTGGGAGCACTCACCGTGCACCTTGGGCACCTTGGCTTTCAGGTGACGCTCGCACTTGGCCTTGGCCTTCAGCAGGAGGAAGATCTGCTCCTCCTTGGTGATGACATCGTCGGCATCCACCTGCGGGGAGGGGACAGAGAGGTCACGCTCCCGTTCCAAACCCTCCTCCGCACCCGGCGTTCCCTCAGCCTCGCCCCGAGGACCCCCGTTTGCTCTGCCGTTGTGTCCCGAGGAGCGGCTCCTCCACGGAATTCTCATCCGCGGATGTGGCACAGGGAGCACAGCCTGGGACCGGTCCCGTCGCGCATTCCCACGTGGAAGCGGCGGTTTTGGGATGGAGCATCCCAGGTTGCAGGGGTGAGGCTGTTCCGGGAGGAAAACATTCCTAGTAAATAATTTAATGCCGAGGACTCCTCTCCACTTAGGAATTACAACCTCCCGTGCTGCTTCCTCCTCTGCACGGAGATTTCACCCACAGGCTCCATAAAATCCTGCCCGAATCCCAGGAATGTGTGGAGGGATCTGCCCCAGGCAGGGCTGGGAGCTGACGGCATCTCCCCACCCTCTGCTCCAGGAGAGCCGGAGAGGGACTGGGGACAAGGGATGGAGGGACAGGACACAGGGAATGGCTCCCACTGCCAGAGGGCAGGGCTGGATGGGATATGGGGAAGGAATGCCTGGCTGGGATGGAATTCCCAGAGCAGCTGTGGCTGCCCCTGGATCCCTGGCAGTGCCCAAGGCCAGGCTGGAGCAGCTTGGGACAGTGGGAAGTGTCCCTGCCCATGGCAGGTGTGGATGGGATGATCCTTAAGATCCCTTCCAAGCAACCCATTCCATGATTTCCCTGCACTCCCCAAGCCATCCCAATCCCGAATCCAGGTCCCTTCCCTCCTTCCCAGTTCATTCCCTTTGCCAAGCCAGTAACGGGAACCAGCTGAGGGCCAATTAACTCCCGACAAAAGCTCCCTCCAAGTGCCATAACGAGGGTTAATGAATCCCAGCTCCCAAATAAACCGGGATTGGATTTCCCAGTGGGCTCCCGGGGAGAGGAACGGGGGCAAGGGATGCGCAGCTGCGGAGTTCTATCTGATAAGGGGCTGGGAGTAAAACAGGAGTTGGGTTTTCGTGTCCTTGGAATAAATCCAGGCTGAAATCCCTTCACCAGCGGGAGTCGCTTCCAAACCGCGTCCACGTTAATGGGAACCGTTCCAGCCCTTCCCAGATGTTTGGCCTGTCCGCATTTAAGGCACCATCCCTCATTTCAGCTTGGATCGGGAACAGAAAAGCTCGGGGTCAGCTCCCGCTGGCGTTCGGAGCTGTACAAAGCCGGAGCGATTCCGCCAAAGCTGGAGGAGTTAGGCTGGATTTGGAGGGATGGGACCTCAGGAATTCCAAGGGATTCATCCCAAGCACGCTCGGCTCCTCTGGCTGTGCTCGGAGGGATGCACAGAAAACACATTTTCATTCCCAGAAATAAAAGGGGAAAGTCTCCAAGGGCTGAGCCTGGGGCTGGGCAGAGACAGAGCTCTGAGCTCAGCTCAGGTTTTATTTCCTAAATCTGCCTGATCCTTAAAAAAAAAATCCATCAAAACCGGCCCCACGTTCCCTCCTCTCTTCCAAAAAATGGTTTAAATGCCAAAAAAATCCTATCTTGGACCTGACTTCGTGGGCTTCCCCTTGGTCAAAGGGGTCGAAATGAGAATGTAAATAAATTTATGGATTAGAACAAAGATTTTCATGGAATCCTGGTGTTTGAAGACAAAAGCTTTTGGGTAAACTATGGAATGGTTCTGGATAAATGCCATTCAACATCCAGGGAAAACCCGGGTGGGAGCTGGGATTGAGGATTATCCAAGGCTGGAATCCTCAGATTTGGGATCAAGGGACAGCAGGTGGCACAGCACAAACACCTGGAGCTCAAAAACCCGGAGCACCTTTGGATCTCCCAGCTGCTGGAGGAATTTCAGTTCCCCAGCCGCACATTTTCCTGATTTTTCCCTGGATTTTCCTGCCCTGGATCTCCTGGATCCCTGCTCCTCTTCCTGGCCAGGCTGTCCAAGGCTGAAGGAATCCACGGGAATATTTTCCTTGTGATCACTCCCTGATCCACGGCACATTTGGCTCTGGGTGGGCAAAGCTTTCCCTTGGGAAAACAATCCCAACACCTGATCTGAAAAAATGCCGGGGGACGGCCTTGCTGAAACCATTGGGAATCGTTTGTGCCGATTTTTGGGAATCCGGAGATTCCCAGGAAGCAAAAGAAGCGGCTTCGCTTCCAGGAGTGCCCAGGTGGGGCTTCAGGATTTGGGAATGGGTGGGAAGTGCTGGGAATGAAGCAGCTGCTGCTTTGGAAGGGGTTTGGATCCCTTTGGATGGGAGAAAAACAGGGATGGAGGTCCCGGGGTGAGATGTCCGTAGGATACGGAGAAAGGAAGGAAATTAATCCCTAATTTGTGGGATTTGAGGCTCGGATGAAGAGAACAAAGAGGGAAAAATCCCAACAAATCCCAAGCAGGATCCAAACTGGGATCAGACAAATGAACAAAGCCCAAATCCAGCAGGAGCTGGGAAAATCCGGAGCCTGGATGTAAATTCCAGGGCCAGGAATGTCCTAAACTGCTGCTGCCCCTCAAGTGTCACCTCTTTTCCTAAACTGGAATCGGGCTAGGATGGAAAATTGGCCAAAAAAGGGATATTTTCATCGATATCCATGGATTTCCTCTCTTTTTAAAGCCATGCCATGCTGAGAATCAATCCCAAAAATCCACATTAGTACCCAGAATTTGCTCCAGTTCATCACCGTTTATTCCATGAATTCCCTGCACATTCTGCTCAGGACAATGAAGAAGGAGGTAAAAGGCACCGGGAATTTTTCATCCCAGTGAATTCCAGAGCCAAAGACTCCTCAAGATTCCCGTACTCAACGTTTCCCTCCTCTTTTACCAAATTCCCAAGTGCCTTCACCTTTTTATGCTCCCCACAAAAAATCTCTCATCCTGGTAAAACCCTTAAACCAACAGCAAGGAATAAATGTAGGATACATTTTTCCTGCTGATCCAATAATAATTCCAATAATAATCCAAATAATCTGGGAATATCCAGGATGGGCTTCACCAACCTGAGCTATTCCCTCAGAGCTCCTCTTACAGCCTTGACCTGCCCAGAGCAGCTGGAATTTATTCCATCCTCAAACCAGCGCCTGAAATAAATTGGATCAGCCTTTTTTTTTGGGGATTTCTTTCCCTCCCCTCCTTTTATTTCCCAATCAATTGGCCAGTCAGGAGCACTGAGAAGATTTTTGAGGAGGAATTTTTGCTGGTGGGAATTCTGGGAGCAAGAGGAACATCCAAGGGAAGGCAGAAATTGTCCCAGATATGTCCAGCTCCCAAATCCGGCGGTTTCGGAGGAAGAGGTCGAGGTTATCCTGTCCCTGCAGATTTAATCCCTCTAAAAGCTTCCAGCAAATCCCTTTAAATCAGCTTTCCCTAAATTTCCTCAGCAGGAATTCCTGCACTGAGTTTCTTGGCAGGCGGTTTTTCCAAGGAGTGGCTTTATCCCGAGGGATGCGGGATCCTGGGCTTTTCCCTTCGTTCCTGCAATCCCACCCCAGGAGCTCCTGGAAGGGATGGAGGCTCCTCCCCCGGGGCTTCCCGGTTTTCCAATCAAATCCCACCTGCTCCTCTTGCTCAGTCATCCCCTCCTCCCTTCCCAGCGCTGGGTTTTGCTGGAAAATAAAAGTTCCTCGTGGGGACAAGATCTGGGAATGTCGCTTTTCCCTCCTTGTCTGGAGGAAGCAGAAACGCCGAAGGGAAGGGGGACACCACAACTTTATCCCGAGGCTGTCAGATCCATTTGGATCCGTTTTCCCCCCTTTCCTTGCCCCTCCGGAGCCTGCGGGGTAGGGTGAGGATGTCCTCTGGAATTTCCATTCCCTGGCTGATGTCCCAGCCGTGAAAGCAAACCCCAAATGTTCCTGGGGAGATCCCGGTCATCCCGGTTTATGGGCCTCGTTTTCGGGAATAACGAAAAAGAGCAGCTCCAGGAAAACAGATTTCCTGGGATCGAGGGCAAGGAATGCCGGGATCTGCTGGGAGAGCGCCAGGGAATCGATGGGAAGGGGAAAGGGGGTGCAGGAGAAAGAAGGGAAAATATTCCAGCTCCGGAATGTTGGGTTTGTGTTGGAAGGATCCTTAAGGATCATCCCATTCCAACCCCTGGGCAAGGACATTTTCCGCTGTCCCAGGGTGCTCCAGCCTGGCCTTGGACACTTCCAGGGGTTGGGAATTTGCGATTTGAAGTCAGCATGTGCCATTTATCCAGGAGGACTGAGCTTTACGGTGCCTTTCCAGGAACAGGAATTCAGGGACAACTTTTGTCAGTCCCAAAGGATTTCCCGTTTTCCACCCCTGGAGCAAACGAGGTGGGAACCGAGGGGCTGAACTATGGAAAAATCAACTTCCAGGCAAGGAGAGAATTCCCACAATTTGCTATCAGGCTGCCTGAGCGGGGATATCCTTCCCAGAGATCGGAGCATGGTGCAGAGGGATCAGCAGGGCTTGGAATTCTATTCCTGGATCAAAAACCACACCCATCGTGTTCCGCGCTTCAGGAATGATTCATCCCAACCGAAATGTCTCGGATATTCCCAGGAATCCCATCCTGGTCTCCCTCTGGCCTCACTGGAGACATCCCTGCTTCTCCATAACTCCCACGAGATGAGCCAAGCCTAACTCAGCTAAGCTCGAGATCGAGGACCTCAAGGACTAGGCCTAGACCAAGGCAGGATTAAACTTAAGGTGGACGAGCGGATCTGTGAGAAATTCCAAGAAATTCCGGATTTCTCCCGCTGCTTCCGCGGCAGCTGAAGGTGATTCCCAGCTCCCGTGGCCTGGAGATTCCCAGTGTGCTGCTGCTGGATCCCTGCATCCGGCTGGGAGGAGCAGGAAGGAAAGTTGGGAGAGCGGGAAAGTCGGGAATGTTCTGGTTTGGATTTGGTTTGGCTCACAGCCGTCCCTTCCTCTCTCTTCCAAGGAATGATCCCAAGAAGGGTGACCTGGAAGATTCCCAGAAGGATCATCCGAGTGCAGCCCCTGTAATCCTGAAATCTTTTAAGGAAATCT